AAGTCTTTTTATATCACATAGGGCATTTTGGGTTGTGTTGGTTTGTGTCCCTTTTATTATTATTATTTAGAGTTTTGTTCTGTTATTTGTGCTGACTAATTCTCAATTCTTATTTTCTGTTTTTCAGAAAATTCTTGACATTTATTTTAGAATAATCTCCTTTAAAAACACATTAAGTTGGTAGTTTTGGTTTTCCTTATATTTTAAAGATCAATATGGCATATGGTCTCCATTGTTTCTTTTAGGAAGCCAGCTAGGGATTTTCATATTGCCCTTTTGAAGTCAATGTGTCTTTTTTTTTCTATAGCTGTTTTAATTTTTTGTTGATTTTGAGTTTCTCATAGTTATGTGTTTTCCCCAAGTGTGGCATGTCTGTGTTTGGATTTTCTTATCTTCGTTAATGTTAACATGAGCTTGAGTTTTAACTCGTTTAATTCATTGAGGCCTGGGTGCTTAATGATTCATTCCTATGACATATATTTGTCTTTGCTTTTGCACGGACACTAGGTTTGCTCTTGAACTCAATGTTATTTTTTGTCTTTCAATTTTGTACTTCATGGAAGCTTTGAAGATGTAAATGCTATATTGGCATGAACTTATTGTCATGAATTTGCATTTGGGGTATTATTCAATTTCAATTTTTGTAACAATATGTTTGCATTCAACAGTTTCTAGATATACTAATAATTGGTGAAAAAGTGTAGGAGTGATGGCTTATTTAACGTGGTTCTTCTAGCCAAAGTTTCTGTAACACCTTTTGCTGTATGGGTCTGGATAAAAAGGTGGAGAGAAGACACTGCTAGAATTCACCTGTGAATACAGAATTCATTGTCATATTATCCAACGTTATAACACACTTGGTATAACATGAACCCTCTGAGAAACAAGAGATCAGATTTCTAACAGCTAGATTCAGGAGTGGAGCCCTAGATGTTTGTACAGTGAACTTCCTGGATCCAAATTGCCTCTGTGATATCATTGAAGCAGTAACAGAATGAGCAACCTGAGGGTGAAAAAGTAGTTAACATTCCAGCCCACAGAGCAAGTAAAACTGAGTGTTCTTAGGCAAGAGGATGACTTGTGGAGTAGAGTGCTTATGGGCATTAATTTGGGGAGTCCATCCATCCCT